CACAGCTCTTTAGTGTCAAGATGGGACTCAAAACTTGAAAGGATGAGTTGCCCTGGCAGAAGTGCCTCCGATCAGACTGTGCCCGTACACAGGAAGACATTCCCCAGCTCCACCCAACGTGATGCAGATGACGGTGCCCATTGCCTCTGGGGATGATGGGACAGTTGCATGGGCCTATCCAGCCTGTTGGATATGCAGCTGTGAACTCATACATCATCATTAAGGCTGCAAAGTCAAGCAGCAAAAGGAGGAATTGCCAGAATAAAGGCTGTCAGAGCAATTTTAATTCAACCTCCTGGCAGATATGCCTTCTGATGTGGTCTTTAATTACCTCATCACAGCCTACTTTTTCTTCAACAAGACTGCTGCTTCATTCAGAGCACGATGGACAGACGGCAATTAATGAAGGGCCAGTGAATATTTTGTTCTGTCCTTTTTTTTGTTCAGTGTGTGGCCTCAGGCATTATTTGCTGCATGCCATCAAGTCCCTGCTCTTATGACAGAATTATTCATCTTCTCCTGGACTTTTCTCTTGCGTATCAGTGCAGCAACTGTGAGCTTCCCACACAGGAAGGAGTTTCTCTTCCAACACTCCTGTGAGCAGAGAGCCTGGGTTTTACCTACAGGAAAATGTGGTGCACACGAGTTGCAGAATGCTGCACTAGCGAGGCCCAGGTGGGATTTTTCAGGGTACCCACATTGTGTCTGTTCAAAGCCTGGCTCCCCTAACCTCAGCCAGAGCTGTAAGCACTCAACACTTCTATAATTTGAACTCCACTGTGTCCAGAAAATGAGAAACATGGAACTGGTGGCTCTTGGAGAAAAAATGTCAGTGGTTTAAAGGGGCAACAGCTCCTCTGCTGATGCTATGCTGGAGCAGGGCTCTGATGTGCAGTCAATGAGCCAGAGTGAAAGAACAGAGCAGCGCTGGTATGGGCAAAGGGGTAGACTTAAGGCAGTGCAAGGTGATTGGCATTTGTGAATTTTTCAACAAAAATTCGGTTTTCCTACCTTTACCATTCTCTGTAACAGCTGTACTCTGCTTTCTCTTAACCTCTTACAAATTTTTCACTTTTTACCAAAGATTTCAGTGGAGGACATTTCTCACTTTGGACCCAAGCAATCTTAACCTTTACTCCAGCACAAGTAGAAAGAGGTGAGTGCAGGACAGAGACTCAGTAAAAGGAAGAGCTCCCTGTGCCACCGGTGGCATCAAAGGGGCCCCACACAAATGTTTTCCAGTGAGTGCAATGGGAGCGGAATTTGCTGGTCACCAAGCAGCTTATAAAAGGACAGTAACAAGAGGAGAGGAAGGGCATGAACCTTCATTGCCACCTGACAGCACCTTTCTGTACTGCACTCTCCTGCTCTGTGCCCACTTAACGCAACCTTAGAGAGACATCTTTGTGTCCAGGATGGACTTTCCTGAGCCTCTCTGAAGCATGTCTGAGTGGCAGTGCTTTCTTCTCCAGCAGCTTCTGTTAGCAGCACAGAGGTCTCTTTTACTCTGTTAGAAATTCATAGGCCTACCACCTTGTCACTCCAGAAAATGTTCAGCATTTTCAACAAGGCTTTTAATTCATTAGCTTACATAGGAAAATATTCTAACCTTCCTGCCCTCCCCAGCTGAGTCATTGATGCTTTCCTATCTTGCTGTAGACACATCACCTTCAGGAAAATAATTGCTTAGCATGCTGATAACAACGGACGTTATCTTTCTGAACTGAGTGTTTGTTTGGGATCATGGGGTCTTTCCATGACGAGGACTGCAGGACACATTGGGGTTACTGTTTGAAACAAGTCCTGACCTTCCCTTGCAGGCTGTGGGAAACCCTGCGTGGCCACTGGGCTGGGCTCCTGGGGGAACTGGGGGAAGGTTGGAGGAAGCTCAGCCAGAGGGAAGAGGCTGAAGGGTTCTGGGAGGGACTGGATGAGCTGTGGTGGGAGGGAGAGGGCACAGGAGAATAACCATGCTGGACAGGGAGGGTATAAAGAAAGAGCTGTCTAAGAAGTAAAGACATTTCTAAAAAAAAAAAATTTAAGCATTTCATTTTCATGTCTGGCCTCTCTACAGAGTCAGTGCACAGTCCAGAGGTCTTTTCAGGGATCTGAGCTACTTGGGGACTTCAGGCTTGCCCAGAGGTTCCTTTGATTACAGAGGGAGCAGAAGCTTCTGATCTTGACTTCTATGGCCTGCAACTGTGAACACCTCCTCTTGCTGGTGAGGACATGTTGGGAGGGAACAGGATTGCCCAGTACAGAGTTAGGTGGACAGAAGCTCACCCCAACCCCTTCAGAGCTGTTGCCTCAGTTCTTGCCTCTTGCTCCATATGATCCTAATTCCGTTCCCACTGAATTGCCTGCATTGCCTATGCTCTAGGATGGCTGTTGTCAGACAGCCTGACTGCACAGACTAAGCTCTTGAAAGGTGCCTGAATTAGGGTACCAGCCATATTTCTGACCCTCAAGACCATCTATCCCTTTCTGTGCCTCAATCTCCTCCTCTGCGACATGGTGATACCAACAAAAAAATTTATTTCTTTAAGATCTTTCAGTCAGATATGCTCTGGAAGTGTTGCAGGTTATTGCTGTTTCCAGGGCTATCGTTATAACACATTTTGACTGCACTAATTCCCTCAAACAGAAATTGTTCTGCCTGTAGTAGGCTGGGACAAAGCAGCCAATTAGTTGTCTCTTAAAGGTTTATTAACTCTGCAGCTTTCTTTCAATGGGTATGTGGAATCTGGTAATGTTTTAATATATTTTCATAAACTGTGGGCACAACATGTCCTGTTTCAAGCTAATAACCGTGCCATATAATTAGTCCCTGATTACACAGATATTTAGTATCATTTTACATATTCCAATCCTTTCCTAGTGCCACTGTCTAGCCAAGGCATATTTAAAGCCACAGCCATCTCCCTTCTGTTTCCCAGCAGTTTGCAAGATTTTCTTTTGGACAGGTTTGCAGTTAACACGACAGTTTCAAATAACAATTTCATTCCATTGATACACATTTGATGTATATATACAGGCTCGGATTAAATGTCAGGTGACAAAGCTCAGGATACAAATAGAAGGCATTTATGTACTTACAGGGAAAAGCCGGTATTTGAAAGTTATCAGGAAATTAACAACATGAATCTTTAAAAATCTATTCCTTAAACATCTGTTGGCTTTGGGCTGAACATTTACCATATTTAGGATTTTACTGCGAGGTACCACTCCCCAAACAAAAGATCCCTCACCCCATTAGACTCTGGTGGGGGAATGAGAAAAATGTGCTCTGTGCAACCTGATTATAGATGTGTGTCTTTCCCTGCTGGCGTGGCTGTCTCTATAACGATGGACGTGGATATTTGACGAGATTAAAATGCTTCAGTTACCACTGTCAGTGGTTCTTTAATTTAAAATGAAGAAAGCAAACAAATATTCCTTTTGATGAGGTAACTGAATGATGCTACGGAAAAGCACTTTGCTGTCAGGTGGTAATTAGGTTCAGTAATAGGTGTGGGTTTTTAGCCTTGGAGGCTGTGGCCCCTGGGAGTCTGGGAGAAACGATACATTCATTTTCCAGAGGAGAGGAAGATGCTGGATGCTTTTCTCTGCTAACTCTGCAGCTCTTTGCAGATAAGAGCATTCAGAACTGCAGCGCTGACAATCCTCCTTGAGCCAGCCTAAACTGTTGTGTCAAGATCACGAACAGAGAAAGAGAGATGGACTCAAAGCAGGGCATTTAAACACCTAATGCAGTCAGGCTGACTCTGCATATATAAGGAACTGCCAGATTGGCTGCACAGAGAGTATTTTTAAAGACTGCAGCAGGAACTCCAGCACTTGCTCTATGGTCTGGGCTGATCTTTGTAATGTCCATCTTATGCATCACTAGAAAATGTTCAGTAGGAAAGTATTGCTTTGCAAACAAGCAACTGTTCCCACAGGTACTTTTTTAAGGGGGGGGGGGGAAAGTGGGGAGAAGAAGAGAGTGAATTTCAAGGCTCAGCTGCCTCCCATGTCAATTTGGAATTGGCTTTTCCACTGCAAAATATAAATTATATTTCGTTGTGCTATTAAGAGTTGAGACCCAAATGAAACACTCCAATTGGCCCAAAAGCACTTAATTGGAAATTTTGAGTTTGGAAGCATTATTGCTGTTTTCTCAGAACAGAGGCAAATTCTGAATATGGTGTTTCCCATGAAACAGGAGCTCTGGTTCCTGCTCTGCTCCCCTCCTCATGTTATTACACAGCATTGCCTGTTCAAGGAATGATAGTTCTCAACAAACAGTTCAGTGGTATCTCCCCTGCTCCTCACACAAGCTAAGAGATACTGAAAGGACACCAGTTGGCCAAAGGGATTCAAGCTTGGGCATTTCAAACCCTCTGTTCACACCTTTGTGCATTGCTCACCAGTGCCCTACTTCATGTCCAAATAGACTTCCTTTTGGACAAACATCCACTGAACTGGTTGTAAAGCTGGAGTAAGGACTTATGGTGAGAGGGGATCCCCAGGTAAAGGGTGCCAGCTGTGCTGGCAGAAGGAACCTGCCATCTGGCTGCCAGCACTGTGGCAGGTCCAAGGGGAGATGGAGAGCCCTGCCTTTAGCACAGGCTTGCCAGTAATTTCCTGAAGCGCTGAAAAAGTTTTCACTTCCAGAATTAAAACTTTTCAAAATAAAGTGGGTCTGATTCTCCTCTCACTCTCAGGAGATAAATGAACAGTAAGTCCATTAAAGATACTGGTGTGAGATTGGTGTACAGCAGACAGAATTCAGGAAAGATATTGATATCTCCAAAATCCTCTGAATATTTTTTCAGACATAAACCAGGTATCTTTCCTGATCATAAATGCTTTATTTCCGAATAGAATTTCAATAAAATAAGCACTGTTGGACTAGCACGCTTATTATAAAGCCATAATGCAGTAACACTGAAGTTTAGTCATGAAAGGTATTAAAAAAGGAGCCCCGCTAAAGCAAGAGAAATTGCTTTCTGACATACCGAGTTTTAGGAGTAGGTGCCAGTGGTCTCTCCACCAAGGAGTTCAGCCTGTAGTAATCCAAGAATGTCCTGGCCACATTTCTTCCAAGCTTCATATCTGTGAGTTTTTAATTAAGGAGCATTTTTTTTTAATAATTAAAAATAATAATAATAAAAATATCAAAGTCTAAAGGTAAATTACTGCTATTTGATGCATGAGCAAGTTTTACATTAACCATCCCACAGTGCTCAGGCTTTAGGCAAAATGACTTACGCAAGCAGGTAGAGTGGGGATCATCTTGTTTGCTTCTTGTTTTCACAGGCAGATGCTGCATAAAACCACAGACAGGAGGAAGCAATCTCACTTTTCCCCCACACCTGGTTGCAGATCCCTGTGGTGGTCATGAAGTAATACACTAGACAAAAGGGGCCTTCCAATCTCCACGTTCAGGGAAAATTACCTTAAAATGCTTGGATACAGGCAGCATTTCTGTGCTTGTATCCAGGAAATGAGGTCAACAATGTCATGGTATGAACCAGCTATGGACCAGTGTACAAACTCAAGGTTGGGATTAAAGCTGTAGCCCTCCAAACCTTTAGCACTGACCCCCCACACTGTTCTGGGAGAATATACTGTTCTTTAACTGTGTTGTATTCAGGACCTGAAATGGTCATTTTAGCGCTGAAGTGGAAGGACAGTAGATTACCTTAAGGAGGTCAGCAGTAACTCCAAGGGCTCTTCTCTCCTTACTAGCCACGATTCCTCCTTCAGGTAACCCTGAGCCCAACACTAGGCAGGTGCTGTACATCCAAGCTGCCACAAAGACCTTGCAGGCACAGGAACCAGATTTTCTTGAAGACTCAGTTGCCTAAAAAGAAGCTGGATAACCCACAAATGCATTGAAAAATAATATCCTAGGCAACGTATCCATGAGGTGAATCTCCTGCTCCTGTGAAATGTCAGCACTAGATCTGCCTGTTACAGAGCAGCACCTGCTTATCATCTACAGGGTGACGTCCAACCGGGAGAAATGCACTCGATGCCATTATCCACAGCTGTATTATGAGAGCTGAGGACTCCTTTATTTGCCTATTTTGACTGATGCCTACCCACGCTGCAATAACCACGTACTTCTCCAGGGCACTGCCCCAAATGATCATCGTAATGGCCATTTCAGGACTGTTGACACAGAAGCTGAGGTGGGTATATAACCTGGGGAATCTAAATACACCTCTGCATCTGACACCCAGCAGTCCAGGAAAAGAAACCGTTGCTGGGTTGTTTTGTGTGCATGTGTGCATGTTCTGCTTTATCAATAGTTATCTGCTGATGTTTCCATTAGAGGAAAATTCCAGAAGTGCAGTGTCCCAGGGGCTTCCAGCAGCGCCTGTGAAGATGCTAGCTTCTAAATGAAGCTTTTATTACCCGCCCACTTACATTAGACACATCAAAACAAGTGAGCATGAGGCATCAGGTTCAGGCATCACTGTGAGATCTCTCTTTATAATTTATTTATTTATTTAAAGGGGAGGTTGGACTGATGTGACTCAGTCTTTTGCTCTAGTTCTGCAGAAAGCCAGCCACCAGCTCTGCTAGCGCTGTAGTCAAGCCCAGTTCTAGTGGCAGAGGATGACTCCTGACACTGCTTTTCTCTCCAGTGATCTGGTCCCACTTTTCCAGTTTCCACTGCTGTGCCTGGGGATGGTTATGTGGATCTATCCCTTGTGTTTCAGGGTCTCTCCTGATATGCTCATTGCGATCCTAATACCATATGTGCTGCGGGCATCTATATTCTTCTGCCCAACAGTACAGCACAGCCTGAACAGCTGGTGTTCACGGCCACTGCTTTTCTCTCCAGTGATCTGGTCCCACTTTTCCAGTTTCCACTGCTGTGCCTGGGGATGGTTATGTGGATCTATCCCTTGTGTTTCAGGGTCTCTCCTGATATGCTCATTGCGATCCTAATACCATATGTGCTGCGGGCATCTATATTCTTCTGCCCAACAGTACAGCACAGCCTGAACAGCTGGTGTTCACGGCTGTTGTCTGCGTGGACAGGGATAGTTGGTTGTGTGAAACCGCACCGGCTGGTGCAGTACCCAGTAAGCTCCCCTGCAGCCTGCCAGCACTGACGGACAAGACTAATCGTACGTGCGTGAAAGTTGAGAAAGTTGGAGACAGCTTAAAGTTTATCAATTTGAGGGAGGGCAGTGTTGTTTTAAAAGTGTTTTGTGATTGTTACTGGAATTTGGGGATGGCTGGGGGTAGTTTGGTTTCTGCAGATGTGAACTCAAAGCAGCGGCAAAGGTTAGGAGTTCAAAGTAGACTGAGAAAGCGAGAAAGAAGGGGAGAGGGCTGTCAAACATTTAAGGGATTGAGAAGACTAACATGGCTTGATCTTGTAGTTTCTTTCATTTACTCGGCACTTTAAAGATATAAAGTGGTAATTGGACTCAGTAAAGTCTCTAGGACATTTTGTCAGTGCCAGTCTCGGAAGGCTCCTCTGCCAGAAATGGCCCTGCTGCCCTTTTCTTTGTCTCTCTACGTTGCTTGTGTTTGCACAGTGGGAAACACCTGACCTGCTGTCCTGGGGGAGGAAGCTCTTAGACGAGAGTGGGTGCAGCTGAGGAAGTGGCTACACAAGCTCCTGTGTGGAGCCTTACAACTCTGCCTTAACCCTGACCTGGAGAAATCCAGTTCTACTGCTGAACTTAGGTCTTAGGAACAGCTTTCTAAAGGTGAGGACAGTTAACCACTGCAATAACCTGCTTTAGCACATCTGGAAATCTCCAGTCCAGGGGTCTTCAAGAACAGGTTAAACCCACAGCAGACATGAATGGTTTACGTCTAACTGGTCCTGCATGAAGTTTGGAAAAGGAAGTATAGAAGGGCCTCTAAGGCTACTTCACGCCATTCTTCTACAGTTCTTAACATGTTTTGCAGCCCACACAGACCTCCTGTTTGCTAAGATTACCAGGAAAAGTAAACACATTTTGCAGAGCATGGACACACAGGTAGATGGACACTCTGAAGAAACTGGAAATGCAAACCTGTGCCACATGCAGCCACTGAAGAGTCACAAAATGGGAACAACTTGCAGTCAGCATCGATGGAAAGAGACTCGAACCAGCATGGGGTAAAAAATGTGCATGTTCTAATACTAGTCTCTCAAGCTGTCCTACCCCCTCTGCTCTGCCTGCTGCCTCTGCAAAGGATGAGCGGTTTCTGTCATGGAAATCAGGCACCTGATACATAAAACCAGAAACAACAGTAACAGTCTCTCCCTGTGACTGCCTAGCCTGGGCGAGAAATGGCCTGACTCACTCAGCAAGTGCAGGCGGCATGTGTGTGCAGAACCGATGGAGAAAAAATCAATGCAATAACATTTACATTTATTTCAGGTGCATGGAAGATCCAGACTCCACTTTGGCCTATGGTAGGAGCACACAAATAACAGCAACTACAACCAGAACCCACGTTTGCTGGGTGGTTTGTTTGGTTGGTTTTTAACCAACTTCCTTTCTGCAATCACACATGGTGTGCTTTTGCCCACAGGAACTAGCTTGAACTGCACTTGGTAGAGGGCCATTTCCCCACTATTCCCATCACGGGAGCTCAGCTTGTATAAGACAGTAGAAATCCATTTGGGAGAGTCACAGTGGAAACATCTGGGTGAATCCTCACCTTCAGTAGCATCTGCAATTCCTTTTCCTCTCCCTTCCTCCTCCATAGACTCGTTCTTCCATGCTCCGTATTTCTACCTGGAAGTGGAAACCAGCATGCCCAAGGCCCCTCCTGCAAATGCCATTCTCACAGCATTCACTCTTTGAATGGCATCAGCAGTTTTGGGGAGATTTCAGGACAGCCTGTTTATGCACAACTCTGCCAAATTTCACAGATGTTAGGACATTCAAGAATCATGCCAGGCTCTCTGCAAAATCCCCCATATTTATGATTGCTACCATGCCTCACACCCCAAAGCTTCCAGCCCTGGTAAGAAAAGAGGACAGAGGATTGGGAATCTCATAAGCCATTACTGGTTTTCAACTGAGAAGATTCATCGATCCTGTTGTGAACAGTGTGCTTAAGCTGGAGCCTCTGGAAGCACAGACACAGCCTTGTTCTGTCTGTGCATGGAGGCAATAAAAATCTCAATTTGGAAACCAGTTAGCAGTACAAGTCATTAGGGGAGATACTAAATGTTGCTGCTTTAATAGCTCACTGATCATTTAATAATGTCACTGCTGCAGAGCATGGTGGCACCATTCGCTCGCTTTTGTTTTGCTTTTTGAAATTCAGGGTCATTCCACTTTTTAGTGAATGTATTATATCTCTTTCCCCCTTTTGCCAGACATTGTAAACTGCTTTAAATAATTAGAAAAAGGATGGCTCCTGCAAGTTCACCATCTCATTTTCATAAGGTCCAGTGTCATTGCTTTGGAACAGGAAGAGAAACCATGGTGGTGGTAAGGATTTGACAAGGGCAAAACAGTTAGCAGCCCCCACTCATCTTTGATAAGTCCTGTGGGGTCTCTGCCAGCAGATTGGATCTCTGGTTTTATGTCTCATCTAGAGGACGGCACCTCCATCAATTTGAAACACTGCGCTGGGTTATTAGCTTATGGAATTCGTCCAAGTTTAGTCCTAAACAGGATTTGAAATCGTGACCATTCAATCCAGAGGCACCACTGACCAGACCCACGCAAGTCTTTTGTTTCAGACAAACAGCTTTATGTTATCCTAAAGACAGACAGAAGGGAAGAAAAAAAACAGGGAAGGGAGAGAGAGGGAAAGGAAAATGAGACACAAAGAGAAAGATGAATCTTTTTAATAGCTCAAATTAAAAAACAGAAGCAGCTCTTTATTCGACAAAACTGAATTCTACAGCAAATCTCAGTTCACCACAACAACAATCCTGTTATTTATGAAAAGAGGGTTATTTTGTGTGAGAGAGTCCCAGATGACAGTGGTCAGCTAGTGTACTGTCAGCTTTGTACAATCTCAAGAGAAATATGGATGAGGTTTTCTCGTCTGTTTGTAACAGCTTCCATCAATGGATCAAACCCCTTCCTGACTCGAACAAGAGCTCTGATGGAAAATGGCATTACACGGCTTTA